GTGCAACACGCACTAACGGAGAACTGTCTTCTTATCAAATAAAACCTCAAAAGTATGAAACTGTGGCTGCTGTAAAACACTAAAGATAGATATAAAGTTATAAAAGTAAAGAAAAAGGTGAAGATGTGGGTTAATTTCAATCAATTTGCAATGTAATGATAACATTTTTGTTACCTTAACAGGGTTGTGAAAATCTCGCCAAGCGTGAAGCTTGTAACAGACCGGTGAGTTATAAGATTTTCAAGTTGATTCTAAAGAAAATCCTGAGATTAATGTTAAGATGTAGAGTTCCCAATATCTCTCAATTTGTTATTATTTTCTTTTCCTCTCATCTCTCAACGCCCTTCGCATAAATTGTGATTTAAGCAACACCGAACAATTCCAGGGCAATGACTAGGAAACCTTTACCTTCAAGAGCCTCCTTCAATATCGTATTAAAAACATTTCTTTAATCCCATGACGGAGGTTAACAACAATACACCTTCCTCTGTTTATAAGTAATATGATTACAAAATGTTACCCAAATTTTTCTACCAGTCGTTTGTAAACTCAGTGCCGTAAAGCAGAAAGAGTTTCATTATACTAATCGGATCTGGCAACTTGCGACTTTATCTCGCTATCTATACGTTTGTTTTAGTTTGATTGACGTTTCACGTGTTTGTGTTCATAGGAAGGAGATTGTAGCTGCCAGGCTGGCCTGTCCTGTGTGTTGACGAAAAAAATGATCTTGGATGGAAACGCTATCCCTGTGAAACAGTGCATGCCAGAAGGAATGGAAATTAACGTAGAAACAGTGGACTTTGATAACGAGGAACAGACCAGCTCCTCTTTCAGAGCCAAACGATTTCTTGGAATCTTTACGGTAAATCAACACCCCGATCCCCTCTACTCCCCACCCAGAGGGGGAAAGGGGAGTTCCCGAAACAGGCTTAGCCATTCTGGGGGGCCTCCCTTGACCGGGGGAAATACGATCGACAACAAAACCGAAACTTTCCTGAATGAAAAAAAAAAGTTAAAATCATTTCACGAAAAGGCAAAGCTATATAAATAACTTGAGGAATTGCGCACATAAAATATTCGAACTGGATAGGGGACCTGCATGAAAGCCAGATAAGGCTGACGTGGCTTCCTCTCTAGATATTCTAATTTACTTTGTTTATTTTATTCATCTTGCGGGTGAAGAGAAAATCGAAACACAAATTCGAAATAATACATGCCAGAGAGACTCGATCCTCTGTGACATCGACTGTGCAGCAAAAGTTGCGCAAAGACCAAACTTTGTTTAAAAAGTAGCTTTTGTTTTCACATTTTGTTGTTGTTTGATAAACCAGAGATGTTCTTCCGAAGACGACTGCGCTGCAAACTTCTGCTGTCCGATCCTACTACACCGGTGTCTTCCAAAAATCCTGGAAAACGGCGCTTGCAACTTTAATGTAAGTACAAGTTTTCGCACAACGTTGGCCAGCTGCAACTACTCTGGTGTAACTTAAGTGAACAGTTCGTGAAAACCATGGTATACCCTGTGGCACTACTTAATGACATCCTAGGGGTAATCGCCGGCGGAGTCTTCGAGTGATGTCAATAACAATTCCGATCGATGGTTGCCACAGTCATCCGTTGTAAAAATTCCCTACCTTTTCCCGCCTGGCTTTGTTTCACCGATAAAAATCCAATTTCCCTGACCAAATAATTACACTAAATATCATGGTAGAGGCTTCCAGCCTTCCTTATATCCATACTTTCCCACCATTTATATAACACTGATATGTTTTGAACAATTTCAAATTCGTGGGGAACACAGTGATCTGAAATGTTTCTTCCAACTTTTACTGTAATAATTTCAATTTTCCCTGACGTTTCTTCAAAATCTCGATTTTCCCTGACTCAAGATAAAATTCCCTGACTTTTCTCTTGATCAGGTCCTCAATGAAATGTTGGAATCACCCGTTGTAACATGTTAACTCATGATAAATGGTGTCAAATGTTCTTGAAGTGTTCCGCTGTTTCTTTTACTCTAGAACCTTCATAAGTGCGGGTGCATGGACGGGCTGGTGTGCCAAAAGACAACAGACATTGCCATATTGCCAGGCATTAATTTCCCTCTTGAACAGTGCGTCAAGATGTGAATGTGGCTGAAAGTTGTACATGTAGATAGAGCAGTAGTTAGATTGAAGAAGACAAACCACTGTAACAAGTCAAAGACAAAATAAAACGAGGTTTTGGAGAGCCCAAAATAAGGCTGGCTGGCGTATTCATAGAGACGGTTCTCAAATGGACAAGCGGGCAATAAGGGGTTTGGTGGACTTTACTAGAAGATATTTATGAGATTTTATTTCTCTTCTTTTCGTGACCGCATGGTTATACCAAAAGTCAGAAATGTTTAGCGTGGGGATACGCTTCACTGAGATCACGGCCGAACCCTTCTGTTTCTCGTTCCAGTTCTAATTTAAATACAAAGAGAAACTGCATGTTGTGCTAGTTGGAGACACTGTAAATAATTATGCAAGTATTTCAAATAGAGTATAATCTATTAGGAACCCCAACTGGTGGGAGGTTAAGCAGTTGGTAATTTACAGAACACGGTCGAAGAGTTGAACTCGGGATTGCCGAGAACAAATTAGATGTGAGCGGTAGGGTGGAACCAGGGAGGGTTGAACCAGGGACTTCCAGATTTCAAATCCAACGTCCTAAACCACTCGGCCACACCACCTCCACTAAACATGGAATTTTGTTTTTGTTTTTCTTTGTTTTTGTTTTTTATTTGTTGCACACACTGGTTCCAATACTTACACGGCTACTTACACTACTTGCAAGGCCAATACATATACTTACATTACTTATAATACTTTTTATTCAATGTGATTAATTCCGTCACTTACAATACTAAGGCTAAGGTAAATAACTACATACAATACAATACGATCACTTACGCCGAGTACTAACAATACTGATGCTTACACTATACAGTACAGTACGATAACTCATGTTACATACAATACCAATTAACACTACTTACACTGCAATACGATTACCAACGCCACCCAGTCACGATATAATTCGATTACTTTTGCTACTTAAAACCTTTACACTTATGTCCAGGATTGAACGCAAAGTAGTGTTTAATTAGTACTTTATATTTGGCAGGGTTATTTGACATTTTCATATTACTTCATATTTGACAGAATTGTGTGTTTTGGTGACTTTTTATCAATGAGGACACTTTGTGATGCTTACCATGAGGAATGTGAATCTCATTAGCGTTCAACCCTGGACATATCCGCAAATGTCTGATGTCTTTCCCGTTGGACGAAAAGAAAGCTAGTAAATTAAAATGTTACATGCTTTCGGCTTCGTTCTGGCTTTCGAAGTTAAAGTTGCTT